ATTATTAACCCAGATTATGAATTACCCTTTTTATTATTAACCCAGATTATACTAAACTAGATTATTTACATCCCAGATTATTAATAACCCAGGTTATCAATAGCCCACTTTATTAGTAACCCAGAATATAAATAACACAGATTATTAATAACCCAGTTTATTAATAAACCAGAATATTAATAACCCAGATTATCATTGACCCAGATCAGCTCTAAGATCATGTTGCTTTTCTCAATGTTTGAGCTCTGTTGAATTTGACTCTGCTAATTTAGGGTCTTTTCTGTTTAGTATTTTTTCTTCCAACGTGGCAAAATGTTTCCCCACATGTTCCAACCCACAGTTAGAGTGTGAGAAAAAGCTTTCTAATAAATCTGTCGTGTTCAGCAACCACTGGGTGTCAGTATAAGAACAATGTATGCAAACCGTTAAGGTGGAATTGAGAAGATGAGAAAGGTGACATTATAATCTGTACTTCAGTAACAGTTCAAACAGAGAATATGCTGCTTTTTACTGTTGGCTTTCCTGGAGTCAAACATGCCATCTAATGCCAGAAAGAGCCATCGAATAATGACCCAAAATAAAAATCTTTGAAAAGTCCTGAGGGGATAAAACAACAACACTACAAGACTGTTGTTGATCTTTACCAGTTTAAAAACATGGAAATCTCTGAAGAACAACGAGACATTTGGAAGAACTGGTAATAAAATAGATCAAACAGCTCTGGTCAAAGAATCCTTACTTTGTTAAAGCAAAATAATTTAAAACCTTTCTCCATTAAAGGTACAAATAATCTTTGGTCCATCCAAGTTTAGAGCAGTTTATCTATTATTGGTTACACTGTAAAAAACAAAAGTTCTCACAACTCAAATTTTTAAGGCAACAAACTTTCTTCACATTTGGAGTTTTCAAAATAATTATTCAAGTTTTTCTTCTGAGTTTTCCCACCACTGAAGTCTGTGTTACTGAAACGTAGCACAAGCTACCAATCTATTTTATTACTTTTATTTATAGCTTATTGACGCTTAGTGGGGAAGTTTTTATCTGTGTTTTGTTCAAACCTTTCTTTGTTTCTAGGATAGTAACAGTCTAAGCTTCAAACTAGCGATCTCTGCAGGCGCTGCAAAGCTAACACTAACACCTAAATGAACTACGAGTTATAGCATCATCATCATTCTATTGAAAGTTCACTGTTTTCTCAGTTATCTGCATTAATGTTTATTGCTGTATTGAACATTAAAAGTAAATAATTGAGCCTCTAATTTAGAAAAAAACTTCACTGCACCTTTGATTTAACAACAACTGAACAGTAAAAATACTAAGAAACCACTCATGAATGGTAATTATAACAGCTACTTTGGTTTCCTGAACTGGACGAATTGATTTAAATCATAATTTGTCAGGTTTTCACAACTGGAAATAGTCTTTAAACCGTAGTCTTAGGGATGTTTTATTGACAGTGTGAGCTTTCTCTTCACTGTCAGTCTCCGAGCTGAACAGCTGACTGCTTTTAGTGAGGCATGCACGGTGTAAAATAATTCAGAAACGGAAAACCTGTTTTCAAGGTTAGTGGTTTCGGTTATAACAGAACCATTCAGACAGGTCAAAATAAGATCTAAGAACTAATGTTTTAAAGGGATTGAAATCTGTTCCGTAACGAGGAGCAACGCGGCATCATCATTAAAGTTTAAGGAACGCAGAGGTCAGCCCACCATAGACGTGATGATCCGACTGACGTAGATGGGGTTGCAGCGGGCCGAAACGTCGGCAGCTGGATCACGCTTGTATTTGATGCTGCAGTCCAGAATCTTCATGCAAATCTTCACCATATCTTCTTCAAACTGGATAAGAAGGGAGAGACAAACGACTAGTTGACCTCTAAGCGTTTCATGCTGGATCTAACTGATGCATTCAGATGGGTCCTACCTGTCCATAGTCCCAGTGCAACGGAGATATGTAATTATCAACACCTTTGTAGATGATGCCTTGTTCATTCATCACATACTCGTTTCTCTCCTTATCATCATGCATAAAAACCCAGTCAGCTGCAGGAAACACCAAAGAATCACAGGAACATCATAAAGAGGAAACTGGCTGGAACCAAAACAGATTTAGAGGATATCACATCAGTGTTTTTTTTTTTTCTCCACTGCTTTATTTTCACAAGTCACTTGCCTTCATGCTGCTCATATTTAATCATCAAATATTAATGATTTGGTATAGAAATGAAAAAAGGTCATGAGCGATTTGCAGCAGCGTTATTGGAGCGATCTCAATGAAACCTGAAATCCAGAATAGAATTTAAAATCCTCCTTCTCACATATAAAGCCTTAAATGGCCAAGCTCCATCTGATATCAGAGATCTGATTGTTCCTTA